TCTGGAACCGCTCCAAAAGACGAGATGCGTCCCGTTCGAGAGATCCTCTCGGTGCTCCCCCATGTTTGCGCACCGCCCCACTCGCCTTCAGATAGGACTCGATCGCCTCCTCCAAAGGCCGATACTTCACGTCGACAGCGAGAGTGATCCGAAACAGCTCTGGCTTTCCCTCGACCTTTTTCGTGGGGCGGATGCGACATGCACGAACTTCGTTGGCTAGATCTTGCACGGGCTTTTTCATCGCGACGGTCGTCCAGTAATCTTCCAGGATCTTCTTGGCAGCGGGCGGGCAATTCGGGTCCGCGCCCATCCCGCGAATGAACGCACTCCACACGTGCAAGAAAGGGGGGCCCAGATCCTCCTGCATTCCCTCCGACGACTCCTTCATCTGCTGAACTTTGTTGTGATAGGCCGCCCCCGCGGCCTTGGCCGCGCGAGCTGCAGGGTTCGTCACTTGGATCAGCCACGTCTGGAAGACAACCCCGCACACCTCGCGCAGCTCCGCTGCATTGCTCAACGCGAGCTTGGTCAAAATGACGATTAATTGCCTGAGAATCGCTTGCTTGCCGCCGCCTTGTGCTGACTGTGAAGCTTGGTCCACTATAGCCCCGGCCGCGTCTCCAACACGCCTCTGCTTGTGCCTCGGTTCCTCGCCAGCCAACATCCAGGCCGGCTTCTCGTCCATGGCGCGAAGGAACTTTGGGAGCGCTCTCAAGGTGTGTGCACAGGTGCTTCTGCAAATGCTCGAACAATCCAGCTACATACGGACACAGTGGACAGGCTAGAGATGACGGCACACGAATTTCACAAAGATTACGCGTAGCATCGGCAGCACACTCTCCTCGTCGAAGACTCTGCGAAAGATGACGACGGCAGCTTTCGCGATGTGCACAGACCAGACCACATACACAGCACTGATTGGACACAGACATTACGTGAGCGAGCTCTTGAAACCCGTGATGCGCTATTATGTGCGTGTGCACCGCGCGTCGATCTCGTAGCATACGCCCACAGACCTCCCCAGTAGGGCCCAAAAGCGAACACCGATATGCACCTTCACAAACATCATCCTGAAGCATCCCTGGAATCTCCTCCGCGTCTAGAAACTCGACTGGTGGAACCTGAACCCCGAGTACCCGCGAGCGAAGTTGACGAACATCGATCCTGCAGAACTCTTCGCTAAACTCAGGGTCCGAAAAGGCAAGAAAGACTCTATCTTCCAGTCGTTCCATGAAAGACGCACCCTCATCAAGGTCGGCGAGGGCTCGAGAATCTGCAAGCAACTGACAAGCCCACGGTGAGGCCCATCTCGAAAGCCGCTTTTCGGGCGTCACCACTGGTTGCGAAACTTCACAGTGCCCAAACAGCGCAGTGAGGACCTGTTGGTTAGCCAGCGGTGCACGCGACAGAGACTGCCAATAGCGCAAGCGACGAATAGTAAGCTCCGTCTCCAACGGGACCAGACGCCACCAGCGGAGCACAGCAGCAGAAGTCATCGACTTAGGGTGACCTGGAGCCTCCCTGTCACACGCCCTCCCTCCCATCGCCCTTCGAGCATCCACGGCCACCATATTGTTCAGCTTAGATAAATCCTGCGGGCTCGGCGTGAAGCCTTCAAGACCAGAAAGTGCAATATTATATATCTTTGAAATAAATACACAGCGGCGAAGCCTATGGGGAACTCCAGGAACACTCCAGAAACCTCCCAGAGAGTACCAGGCTCGTTGCAAAGCTTTTCCCCGAGACTTCAATTCAGGCCCAAGGTTAGACGCCCTCGAAGCCATAATAAACCCAAGACTCTTGATTTCCAACGAAGCAGCACCAGGAAACGTACTGAGACCATCCCGAATCTCCCGAAGATCAGCGGCAGTTCCAGGACCACGTAGAGACAACAGAGTATCCTGCTTAGTAATATTCTGCTTAAAACCGCACGGCTGCAGGGCAAAATCCAGCTCCTGGTTGGATCTCACACTCTTGTTGACTAGGATCATCGTCGTATGACCAGCAAGCTTCTTCGTCAAATCGTCAGCATACTTAGTTAGTGAGAGATCCACCACTTGGCTAGTGAGAGGACAGCGTGCACGCATAAGAGCAGAGAGCGGATCCCATTGATGCTGAAGATCGCTCCACTGACACACTGGCGGCAGAAACGTCCGCACAAACGTGTTCACGGCAAATCTATCTCCCATCAGCCCCCCGCAGCCCGGCTTCAAAATAACATCCCCGTCGCTCCCCTTGAGAATCGCCATAGCACAATCCATACGTTGTACACCATATCCCCTATCCTGTTCATGAAATAGATCAGACGCTGCAACTCGCATGCACTGCCTATCGCTGGAGGCAAACGCATTCGTGAGGTCATGGGCATTCGTGATGTAGGAGAGACCGCGCTGCTCCAGCCACCAGCCCGTCGTATTTTGCACGATGAGAGCCCCCTCCCGCCTCCGATGCTGCAAGAATCCATGGTCCTGAACAGAAGCCCGAAGGGACCCTTTTTGCCTCATGAGCCCAGCCACCCACGCCTTCCCCAACGGATCGAGCAAATGTATCCACCTAGACTTGCCGTCAGGTCGCGGAAGCGGCACAGCGCGACTGACATGCCACCTCAGCGGCGCACAATGACAATGTCGCACAAGAGACAGCGCACGCAATAACAGCCCTTGCCCAAAACTCATATCAGGAAGAGATTGTGACATCCCGAGACCTTCCCCTCTGTGAGACCAGGCCTTCCCAGGATGTAGCAGCATCCACCAGAGCTCCAAAGGGGGGCACCACTCAGGAACCGCACGACGCGCACCTGCTTCATTGATCGCAAACTTCAGGAACCTGCAATCCCGCTCGGCCTGAGAAACTTCAACTTCCGAAAAAATCTGCCCCCGGAGAACTCCTCGCAGAACCCCCTCCTTCCAAGTATCCCAGGACTCGACCACCTGACTCCCCATCCCTCCTTCACTGCCTTTCTTCGAAAACTGGGCCACAAAACTGGCTGAATCCTCCACCACTCCTCGCACCGCTTGATAATCTCGCTTCTTAGGGCCCCACCGAGACCCTGCAAGACGTCTAGCTATCCTCGAGGCCTCCGCCAGGCGTCGAGCCCGCCAGTGCTCTTGAAGTTCTGCAACTAAATCTTGCTGCACAAGAAGCCGTTCGCGACGGCGATGCGTTCGCTTACGCTTAGACAAATCACGTAGTCGCGCAGCAATCTCCTCCTCCTCCTCCGAAGTAGTTCCCTCTAGCCGTCGTCGAAGCCGAAGTCGCTCCGCAAGAAACTCCTCTCGCGCCTGCCGAACATTCTGACGGACGTCACTTGCAAACGTCGCCTCCGTGAAAATCTGCTGTCAAACTTCGATCAGAATCGTATTCATACGATCAAAAAAAAAGAGTCAGCCGTCACCGAATTCAAATCAGCTTCCAGAGAGCCCCCTTCAGCTTGAAGTCGTCGCTCTAAGGCCTCTAGGAATTCACGTCGACGCGTGCCGCCCCTCACACATCTCATGATCAGGTCGAAGTTCCAGAACGTCCTCTTCGCTTGTGACTCCTCAGTGCCAGCAGGCGCCAGCTCATATGGAACAAGGGCATGTACCACTAAATGATCACACGGCTTAGCCTTAGGAATGAGTTGCAGATCCCGACTGAGTCCGCGCAAGGGCCCCGCCGCCTTCGTCACTTGCACCAAAGGTCGAGGCAAACAAACATAGTCGATGCGCGACGCGTGACCCGTGCTCGAGTAGAAGGTGGGCGCAGACCCACGAAAGGTATTGGCAGCCTGTAGACCGTGCGCGGCCAGTATAGGACCCATCACAGCACCAGCATAGTGAGCCTGCGCAGCCGTCCCACTCGGCACCACATTCAAATCATCATATACCCAT